ATCACAATTGAGGACAAGCCAGTCAGAGTTGGTGACAGCGCTAATGACATTGAAGTCGGTGATGCCCTCTCTACTGCCTTGCTCCTTCCCAACGACCTTGAACGCAACCCTGAGGTCAGTGAATACGAAAATTTCACTGTGATGTTGTAGCACTCCGTATTGGTAAACTCCTTAACACTTGGTTCTCTGTATTCTTTGTTTTTACACTTAATGAAAATACTAACTTTGTTCTTTGCATTTCTTCTAGGCGATCCAGTATGCCCATTCCTTCACGATGCAAGCTGAGGAAATAAAGAAGAAGTTGGTCCAAAAGACCAAAGAAGCTGTTGGCTTGCTCAAGTCCATAAATAAAGCCGAGGCCAAGATGAAATCATTGATAGATCAGGCCAAGGCAGCCAAACAAGCCCAAGACGAAGCCAAGGAGAAGGCAGGTACTGCAGAGGCTATTGTTGTGGTTCTCAAAGTCGAGAAGAAAGTGGCCGAAGCAAAAACTGCGAAAGACCAAGCCGAGCTCCGGGCTGCCTTGGCCACAAAGGACACCGAGATTAAAGCGGCGGACGAGAAGGCCTATGCCGAGGGGGAAGCCGACGTCCGCGAGGACTACAAAAAACAAGTCAGAAAGGCATGCAACAAGGGTTACACCCTTGTTTAGATGGCTGCTCTGAAGGAGTTGGCTGTCCCCGAGGACTCTCCTCTCAGAGATATAGGCCGACTTGTGTTGCCGTTTCCTCCCACTTCAAGCCAATTTGAGGCTAAGGCTGGGCAGGAAGAAGAAGGAGAAAAAGACAGAGACAAAGAGGCTGAGGAGGCAGCTGAAGTTCCTGTTGAGGCCAAGTCCCCAACTCTGAATGAGCAAGTCCTAGACTTGACTCAGGATAAGGGGGACGAGGTCTCAAAAGGTGCCTTCTCCCAGAACACAACATCCGAGGTGCCAATCGCCGAGAAGAGCCTCGATCAAACTGTACAAGAGATCGACGCCGAGCTCAAGGCTGAGAAGGCTACCGAGAAGATTCCCCATTTGTCTTCTGGGACCGAGACACAGCCTGCCATTGATGCCGAGTAGTCTGATTACAAGCTTTTTCTTTATACTTAGTAGTTTTCTAAACAATGTCTTTTGTTTCCATATTTGGCCGATGTGCCACTTTTGTAACCTAAACTAGTTGTTCCTTTGTAGGCCAAAGTGCCCTTTTTCTTCTTTTGAATGCAAGTATAACTTTTTCTTTGCATTTCTTCTAAGTGCTTGAATGTATGCCTTTTCTTTACTATCTTGTATGATTCCATACTTAGAATAATTTGAATGTCTTCAAAGTACACCTTAACTGTGCAATCTCCTCAGGGTAGAATACCTCGGATATACCCACTGACTGTTTATCTCGGTCTTAGCTTAACACTTGAAAACATTTATAAAAATATTTTCACAAGTGTTTATTTAAAACTTGTCACTTCACTTTTACTTATCAAGACTTCTGTCTTCCATTATCTTCCGAGTCTTGGCAACATGGTAATCTCGGCAAGTATGAAGATACTTCTTTCAACATAACCTTGGCTTAACTTCAACTTGTAAATTTTTCTTAAAAATTTCAGCAAGTGTTAAACCAATTTTAGCTTGTAAATTTCAAATCCCAAGCATCATTCTCCAGCTCTGCCCCCTAATGTGAACTTAAGTTCCACTTAGGTTCTCACTAAGCATGTGGCTATGACCACGTCGCCGAAGTTATATTAAACAGAGACTAGCCAAGGTTCCCAACCTTGGTTCCTCTGTTAATCTTACTCAAATTCACTTAGTTTCAATTTGCGTTTTGACTTTACTGATATGGCAAGTCCAGGTTAATTCAACTTAGTTCAACTCTATTATATGCAAGTATAATTCAACTCTGTCATATGATGAATCTAAGTTATTCGTCATGTTTCATTTAAAAACATCGCCAACTTAGTTTAACTCCATTATATGCAAGTATAATTCAACTCTGTCATATAATGAGTCTAAGTTATTCGTCATGTTTCAATCAAAAACATCGCCAACTTAGTTCAACTCTATTATATGCATGTATAATTCAACTCTGTCATATAATGAGTCTAAGTTATTCGTCATGTTTCATTCAGAAACATCGCCAACTTAGTTCAACTCCATTATATGCAAGTATAATTTAACTCTGTCATATAATGAGTCTAAGTTATTCGTCATGTTTCAATCAGAAACATCGCCAACTTAGTTCAACTCTATTATATGTAAGTATAGTTTAACTTTTCCATATAATGAGTCTAAGTTATTCGTCATGTTTCAATCAGAAACATCGCCAACTTAGTTCAACTCTATTATATGCAAGTATAATTCAATTCTGCCATATAATAAGTCTAAGTTATTCGTCATGTTTCAATCAGAAACATCGCTAAAGGACTGGTTAATCGTTTTTCACAAGTTTGAACAAAAAATCGAGCTAAAATTTTATTATTACTTCGGCAAAAAACTTAAAAAGAAAAAAGAAATCTAATGATAAAAAAACTTCAGGTTGCAAGTATTCCAAGGTCTTGGCAACTCTTTGCCTTCACTGTCTTCAAGCCGATATGCCCCATTGCCCAAGACTGAGATGATTCTATAAGGTCCCTTCCAATTTAGGCTAAGCTTGCCCTCTCTAGGATCCTTCTTGTTGCCGACGACTTTTCTCAGGACAAGGTCACCAACTTGAAACTCTCGTGGGTTAACCTTTTTATTGTACGCCCTAACAAGCTACTGCTGGTATGCCCCCAGCTGAATTGCTGCTCTCTGTCTTCTTTCTTCTAACAGATCCAGATCTTGGGCCAAGAATGCATCATTGGTCTCATTTTCTACTCTCTGGGTTCTGATCCCTAGGATACCGACCTCCAGAGGAATAACTGCTTTTGTGCCATAAGCCATGGCGAATGGAGACTTCCCAATTGATCTTCTCGTCGTAGTCCTATATGCCTAGAGTATATTGGACAGCTCATCCACCCACTTTCCCTTTGCTGCTTCCAGCATCTTCTTGATCCCATCCAAGATAACCTTATTGGATGCTTCTGCTTGACCATTACTCTGAGGGAAGCTTGGAGTAGAGTAATAATTCTTGATCTTGTACTTTGCACAGAGGCTTTTGATCAGCTTGCTGTCAAACTGGGTTCCATTGTCTGCTATTATTGCCCTTGGGATCCCAAACCTGGTGATGATGTTCTTCGATATGAAGTTCTTTACATCGACATCTTGAATCTTTGCAAGGGGTTCAGCTTCCACCCATTTGGTAAAGTAATCTGTTGCTACCAGTAGGAACTTCCTTTGTCCAGTTGCTTGAGGTAATTCTCCCATAAGATCCATGCCCCACTAGGCAAATGGCCAAGGGCTGGACACTGGGTTTAAATCTTCTGCTGGTTGATGTATTAAAGGTGCAAACCTCTGACACTTCTCACACTTTTTGACATAAGCTTTAGTATCTTTCTGCATGTAGGGCCACCAGTACCCCTGAGTAATGGCCCTATGAGCAAGTGACCTGCCTCCAGTGTGGCTTCCACATCCTTCATGTATTTCATATAGGAAGTCTTCAACATGTGAAGGATGCACACACCTTAACAGGGGTCCAGTTAAAGATCTTCTGTAGAGATGTCCTTCTGCTGTTAGACTGAACCTTGCCGACTTTAGTCTGATCTTGTGTGGTTCTTTGTGTTCATCTGGTAGTTTCCTATCTCTAAGGAATACTGTTATCGCATCAATCTAACTTGGTCCCATCTCCACGCACATTGCTTCATACTCTGTGTCCGGTGGTTCTATGCTTGGACCTGACAAGTAGTCAACTATTATTGTCCTTGCCTCTCCAAGTTTCATTGCACTAACTAGGTTGGCCATGGCATCAGCGTGGCTATTGTCATCTCGGCTAACCTACTGTAGTCAGCAATTCTGGAATAAGGCTACTAGTCTGCCCACCTCCTTTACATAAGCCATCATCCTTTCATCTCGGGCTGCGTATTCGCCTGTCGCCTAGTTGACGATAAGTTGGGAGTCACAGAAGACCATCACCTCGTCGGCTTCCATTGCTACTGTCAACTGCAATCCTGCGATCAGTGCTTCATATTTTGCTTCATTGTTTGAGGCCTTAAACCCCAAACGAATGGATTATTCCAACATCCGCCCATCTAGCGATGCTAGAACTACTCTTGCCCCCACTCCTTGTTGGTTTGAACTCTCATCGACAAATAGGTGAAATGAGTCGCCGACATAAATACCACAGGGCCTAAGTTTCTCTTCTTTCTTCTGTTTTGCTATCCCCCGTTGAGTTTCTTTTTGTCCATCTAGGTATCCTAAACCACGACTCAATGAAGCCCGATGTTCGATGGTGCCTGGTGTGAACTCAGCCACGAAGTCGGCCAGAACCTGGCCTTTGATTACTGCTCTGGGTTTGAATTCCAAGTCGTATTGGCCCAATACCACTGCCCATCTGGCTATCCTGCCTATCAGATCTCCTTGCCGCAACAGGGACTTCAAAGGATGCTCGATTAACCCCACAACCTTGTGGGCTTGAAAGTAATGATTCAGCTTCTTGGAAGCCATTACCAAGGCTAGTGTCAGTTTCTCCAAGGGTAAGTATCTGGTCTCTGCATCTGCTAGGGTTTTACTCACATAGTAAACTGCCATTTGTTCTCCCATTTCTTCTCTGATTACTACTACACTCACTGCATGTTCTGAAACCGCCAAGTATAAGAATAGCTCATCTCCAGGTATTGGATGTGAGAGAATCGGAGTGATGGTCAAGTATTTCTTCAAGTCGGTCAAGGCGACTTTGCATTCTTCTGTCCATAAGAAGTCTATGGCTTTCTTTACTAAACTAAAGAAAGGTTTGCATTTGTTAGAACTTCTGCTTATGAACCTATTCAGGGTTGCAGCCCTTCCAGTCAGCATCTGCACTTGTTTTGCTGATGTTGGGCTCTTCAAGTCCAAGATGGCCTTGATCTGATCCGGGCTTGCCTCAATGCCCTTTCTGGTAACCAAGTGTGACGCCCCAAATTTTTTTTTTTTTGAAACGTCATAAGATTTTAAATAACAATAACTTGCTAGATAAAATTTTAACTACTAGTTAGGAACTTTTAAGTTCTTACAAAGCCAAAGTCCAACGACAAAATAAAACTACGAGTTCACAAACAACGTCACAACATAGTTTAATCCTACTACAAGGGATAACAGGATTTTATTCTGACAAAATCTTGACTCTAAGTCAGCCAAGGTTCGATATTGGCAGCAGCTCCAATTTCAGCCTCAGTCCCTTCTTCAACATAATCTGGCATGAAACGCCAGGGCAACAAAATATATGCCATGAGTTTTGCAACGCATTAAGAAAACGTAACCAACCTACCATTCTTTTTAAGAGACAAATAATAATATTCTAAACATGAGATAACAATATAATTATACACAGAAATTACAACCATTAGAATAGTTTCAGTAATTTTAATAAATTAGGTGACACTCGAAATCTCACCAAAGAGATTTAACTTAACAACTACTAAGCATGGCAACGGTTAATTTGAAACCCTCCCTTGGTCAAATATTTAAGTGTTACCAACCGTAACTACCAGGGATGCCCACGTCTGGAGTTATATACCCAAGTAGTGGCATCCGTGGTCTGCCCCAAGGAAACGGTCTGCCAGGGGTAAGCAACCTCCCTGTGTGCCACCTGCACATCCACCCTTATTCCAAAACCGAATACCGAAAAGGGTTCAAATAAGTCCCGTGCCATCTTAGAGTTTCGCAACACAATTTACGTGAGAATTCTCAAAACCAGGGCTCACCCTGAACAACCGGTGTTAACCGTCAGCCCTTAATTCCGTAAAGTCTTTAAACCAAGACTCACCCCGAACAACTGGTATTAACCGTCAATTGTTAACTTTGTATATGCCGTTAATCATTTCAGTTAATTTTGATATTAATCCCAAATAATTCCAAATTTTTAATCACAAATAATGTTGTACCAACTCATTAAAATTCCCAATCATAAAATATTGCATGTGTCACACAATACTAAATAAAAGTACAGAATTTAAATAAACAATTTATTTAAACCATGGTATGAAATAATAACTTAGATACAAGAATTAAACCCTAAATACACACATGCACAAATTTTTGATTTACAAAATTAGACTAGCATAATATTAAAGTGGTGATTTTATTCTGTCCAGAAAATTTTCAGAGTATATATCTTGCAAATAAAATTATAAATACATTACTTATACAACTCTAAAATTCATATCAATCTACAGGATACTCAATAAACATGTTATGGTTATTTTTCAGAAAGCTTTTCCCAAAAATAACTTATAAATAATTCTAAACAAATTCCAAGGGTGTTTATGACACAGATTTGTCACATTTCCTTATTTTAATTCCATGCTTAAATTTATAGATCAAACCCATAATCTAAGAATTTATTATGAAACTAGACTTCTCAAATTTCATCTTCTAGTTAGAAATTACCAGATTTGGCTTAGTATAGAATTTTAAATAAATTTTCAAATACATGGTAAAATCTGTCTCACAGTTTCAGATTTAGTTAGAAATTTGTATAAATTCGTAGAAAGCTTGAAAATTGTTTCCAAATTTTTTTGGATAAACTAGACATCATTATCAACAACTTTGTAGAATAAATCATCTCGAAGTTCTGAGTATAAAATTGTCTAAAAAATCGGGTAACATGCTGGCAGATTCAAGACAGATTTCTCAACACAGTTTCAGATTTAGTTAAAATTTTGTATAAATTCGTAGAGGGCTCAAAAATTGTTTCCAAATATTTATGAATACACTAGACATTATTATCAACAACTTTGTAGAAGAAATCATCTCGAAATTCTAAGTATAAAATTGTCTAAAAATTCGGGTAACATGCTGGCAGATTCAAGACAGATTTCTCAACACAGTTTCAGATTTAGTTAAAAATTTGTATAAATTCCTAGAAAGCTCAAAAATTATTTCCAAAAATTTCTAGATAAACTAGACATCATTATCAACAAATTTGTAGAAGAAATCATTTCGAAATTTTGAGTATAAAATTGTCTAAACATTCGGGCAACATGCTGGCAGATTCAACATAGATTATCTTCAACACAATTTAGACAATGTATCATATGTACACAATCTGAAAATTTCAATTATGTAAAAAAAATGAGAGGATTGAGAGGGTTTTCTTACCTAACAGTAGGATTCAAATGGTTGATAAAATGGTAGAAAATTTTTGCTTCCTTAACCTTCCTCTCTTCTTCTCCTTCTACTGTTAGCTGAGATTTTTTTTTTATTTTTTTTTTATTTTTCCCTCACTTGTAACCGAATGCTTGCATGCACAAGGAAGGCTTGCATGCATATATATAAATTGAAGACATCTCTCTCTCCCTCTCATTCTTTCCATTATTTTTTTTCTCAAAAACATTCCATTCCCTTTCTCCAATTTCTAAGAGCAAACTTTCTCTAATTTTTATAAGTTCTTCCCTAAATTTTATAAAGGATGGTGGGTTTGGTAGGAGTTGTGGGTAGTTTGCCCACGGTTTGTTTGTTTGTATTATTATTTTTTTTTATTTTATTTTATTTTTTTATTTTTTTTTTGTGTGGGTTTCTGAAAATTGACACACTAAGATTTTTAACTAAGGTATTTAGTAAGAATAGTTATTATATTGAATCCTAATTAAAATAATTTATAAACAACAAATATTGAACACCTACAAAATTATTATTCTTAATAATGTCTTGTTAGTGATTGAATTGAGTCGATTTAAAACTAACTTTTACACTAATATATAATTCAGATAGACTGTGGACAAAATTAATTAATTAATTAATTAATTTTCTTTAAAGAATAATTAAAAGATGGGTTTTCACACCAAGTGTCCCAGGAACTTTCTTGACCCAACTCCAAATATGCACTTCGATGCATTGAGTCAGAGCCTAAATGTCCTTAGGATATCGAAGACTGCTTTCAGGTCGGCCATATGATCCTTAGTTTCCTTGGTCTTCATGACCATGTCATCAATGTATACCTCCATTGTTGTGCTTATTAGATATCTGAACATCTTAGTCACCAATCTCTAGTAGGTTGCCCCTGTATTTTTCAACCCAAAAAGCATTACTCTATAGCAATACAGCCCTTTTGGAGTGATAAATGCAGTCTTCTCCTCATCAGGGGGAGGGGGTACATGGCTATCTGATGGTACCCCTTGTAAGCGTCCAGGAAGCTCATCCTTCCATGCCCTGAAGTGGCATCAACCAATTGGTCAATTTTGGGCAGTGGGAAACTGTCTATGGGACATGCCTTGCTTAGGCTAGTGAAGTCCACGCAGGCCTTCCACTTCCCATTCTTTTTCTTCACAACAACAGTGTTTGACAACCATGCTGGGTAGTTTACCTCTCGAATGGTTCTGGCCTCCAGAAGTTTATCTACTTCCTTTTCAACTGCCTCAACATGCATCAACGTAGGCCTCCTTGCACGCTGGATAACAGGTTTGGCCGACCTGTTTACATTCAGTTTATGGCAAATGACATCGGGGTCACTGCCAGGCATCTCGTATGGTGTCCAGGAAAACATCTCAAGGTTTGTTCTCAAGAATGCCTCTAATTCCTTTTCCTCTTCCTCGGCTAAGCCTGAGCCGAGAAGGAAGAAGCGCTCTTCATCCCCTTGCTGGACTAGGACCTTCTTCAGGGCTTCCTCACTTTTCTCGGCTGGTTCTTTGCCGACGTCCTCCAGGATCTCCATGTCCTCGTTCTCAATTTCTGCTGATTCTGCTCCTCGCACGCTGCAGGTGGATTTCAATGCTGCCATGGAGCAAGTCTTTGCCTGCACCTGATCCCCTCTGACCTCCTCAATTCCATGCTCTGTTGGGAACCACAACAACTGGTGCAGTGTTGAGAGAATTGCCCTCGTTAAATGTAGCCACGGCCTTCCCAAGATAACATTGTAAAGGGAAGGGGTGTCAATTATTGTGAACTCTGTGTTCACCTTCTTAGTGCCAACCTACACCTCTAAACTTATTGCTTCGAAGGGCCACGTTGGCATTCCGTTGAACCCAACCATTGGACCATTGGACTGCTCCAGATCTTCTTGGTGAAGGCCAAGCTCCTTATAACAACTGACATATATGGTATCACAAGAGTTGTCTTGGTCGATTAAGATGCGCTTTACCTGGCACTCTCCAATCTAAGGGATATTACCAGGGTATCATTGTGTGGATGTTGCACCATATCTAGATCGTCTTCAGTGAAGGACACCATTGGTCTCTGGAGCTCGTTTGCCCTAGGTCTTTTCTTGCAGACCTGATACACCTTCGAGTGAATCACATTGATCACTCGAGGTTTGCCTGCTTGTGGTTGTGGTGCTGGTAGAGGCGGTGCTGCTGGTGCCTGAGACAGTCTCGCTTGTTTTTCCCTCGTCCTGGCCTCATCTACAAGGTCCCTTAAATGACCTTGCCTTACCAGATCTTCTAGATGTGCCTTTAGGGATCTACACCCCTGAGTCAGATGCCCATCTTCATTGTAGTAGGCACAGTGCTTCCCTAGATTTCTTCCCATAAATTCGCCAGGAGTCTTCTTTGGTGCTCTATAATACGGTTGGTTCCTGATCCTCTCCAGGACTTTGTACACCGGAATATGGAATACGGTAGTTACTGCCTGCGCAGCCCTCAGTCCTGTCTCTTGCTTATTGTATCCACTATTACCTCGGCCTCTCTTATCTTGTTTTGATGACTTTGTCCCTAGCATGTCCTCCTTGACTCTTGCATGCTTCTCTATCCTGGCCATTAGTTCCTCCATACTTTTTGGCAGTGTTTTTGCCAGTGATTTTTGAAGCAGACAATTATCATTTAGGCCGTTCTTAAAAGACATGACCGCTACCTCTTGGTTGCATCCTAGTAATCGGTTGAACACCTCATAATACCTTTTGGCATAGGCCCTAAGGCTTTCATCCTCACCAACTCTCAGAGCCATCAGCGAGTCCACCCTCAACGGCTGTAGTTTGTTTGTCATAAACCTGGCCACAAACATCTCGGCCAGGCCTTCCCAGCTTTTCACAGTTCCTTTCGGCAACTTATGAAACCAGTCTGATGCGATTTCCCAAAAGAATGAGGGGAACACCTTGCAGAGCAACGGCTTGTTCCCGACGTACAGTGCCATTGAGTTCAGGTACAAACAGACGTGAAGTTAGGGTCAGACTTTCCGTCGTATATCTGGAATCTCGGCATATAAAACCTTTTCGGGACTTCAAATTTGTCCAATTTTACCGAGAATGGCGTTCTTGCCTTGACCGGGGAGGTAACGTCGGCATCTTGCCACTTCCTTTGGATGTAATCCTTCAGATCCTCCTTGGTCCGTCCAAGAGCTCGGCTGTCAACGGATTTTATTCTCTTTGGTGCACTACTTCTGGTGTCGTTATGAGTCCTCTTGAACCTCCCTCCATTAGTTGTATCGAAACAGAACTCCTTCCCCTGAACCTACCGATGTTCTTTGGTATAATCTTCTTTGGTACGATGTGTCCTCCGAGACTCTCCCTTCATTGACTCTCATCGCCCGACCTCCCTTGAAAGCCGGGGAGAGTGTTCCTTGGTCCTGGTGTGCTGAGGGACTACAGGGACTGTTTCCTGCCCCACTTTTTGGGCATCGTTCTTGGCCGCTGGAATCAGCGTGTCTTGTAACAGAAACTGTAACACCCTCAAATTTATAACATTAAACCCAACAAATAAGACATGCATTGATATTCAAAAGTTCCACATTCTTTCATTTCTCAGAGTTTCATTACAAAAAGTATTACATGTTAACAACAAAAGCAAATGCCCTACAGGCTTACAGCTTTCCAAGTTAACACTTGGTTAAAAAAAAGAGTACTATCTCAAATACACATTAAGCCCTTGGCTTGAATTTACATGTAATACATCCAAAAGATAACAAAATGACAAAAGTCTGTCTGCCTCTAGCCTCCCAACCTATGTCCTTGGAGGTGGCATGCTACCTGTACCTGAAAATGATGTCCCATAAAGGGTAAGCCATAGCCCAGTAGAAATACACTAAACCAGCCATGAATAATGACTAAAAGATTAGCAGTTGATAGATGGTCAACACAGGTACATCTACATATATCACATTCCGATTTCATGACATTAAGTCCATATTACATTTCATTTCTCATTTCTTTTTCAAATTTGAGTTTGAAAACAAGGCTCAAAACTTAGCCAAATAACTTGATGAGAATAAGACTCATCTCAAAACATTTTCGAAATTCATGGTGGATACACATTGTGATGCTGTATCAATAACACATAAGTCACTTCTATACTATATGAGCGATACACATTTTGGTGCTGTATCAACGTAACATAGAAACACTTCTATACTTCACAATTGATAACGATATACATTTTAGTGCTATATCAAATCAAAACAAACACTTCAAAATTCGCAGCCTGATACACATTTTAGTGCTGTATCACTGTCACAAGAAAACACTTCTAATTCGCAGCCTGATACACATTGTAGTGCTGTATCAATGGAACAAGA